GTGAGGTGTCCCGGCCCACGGCAGGCGGTTGGAACTAGACCTTAACATCCTTTCCAACCCAAACCATTCTATGATGCTGTGCGGGCAGTGCTGCCCCTCCAGCCACTGTGCTTCATAGTGGCACCTCCCTGACCGGCCGCCCTCACCGTGTCTGTCTCCGCCGTTAAAGCAGGTACCTCTGGCTGGAGGAACCCCAGGCTGGAGCATCCCCCCTCCATTCCCTTGGCTGCAGGGGAAGGACACCCGCTATCCCAGGGGCTGGTGCCAGCACGTGGAGCCGGGGTGGGCTTCAGCTGCCCGGGGATTAGGAGCAGGGAGCCACGTGCAGCGCCTTTAAACCCGCCTGCGTGAGGTTTCTCCTCCCCCTGGCACAGGCCACCGGGTTCCTAAGGAGATGCCCTGGACCCGTGCGTGGCTCCCTGCTGAGATCACCTACTGCACTGTTATGGAGCTTGGCCACGGCCTCTGCACGTGGTGTGTTCGGAAAGGCCAGGCAGTGATTTGCTCTTGGTCCTGACCATGTCTCTGTGCTTATGTAATGAATTGTCTGCCTGGGAGCTTTACTTTGTTTGTCTCAGCACGGCCTTCAAAGGCAACATGCAAAAACACTCTTGTGTGAGGAGCAGCCATGCTGAGGGCCTGCTAATGGTGGCAAGGCTGACTCGCCCTGGACAGGAATACATTCAGAGTCGTCTGTGCTGGCTGAAGATGGGGGAGAACAAGGTGACTCATACCAAGCTCCAGCATGAAGTGAAGGGAAACACTTCCCTTCTGGGGCCATGGGATTTTGATGTTGGGATCAAATGGGGCAATTCCCACGCATGTGGGAGGGTGGTCTCTCCTGCCTTGCTGACCCCAACACTTGTGTTTTTTGCTCTCCCCCCAAGCATGGTTAAGAGTCAGTCCCTTCCCTGCCTGAACCATTGCATCTTATTCTCCAAGCAGGGTTTTGGCAGCGTTGGCTGTTTCGGGAGCACAGTAACAATAAAATTGTCTGCAAGAAAGTGTTTGCCGTGGCACTTAAGTAGAAGATGTCTAGAGGTGTAACCGTGTGTGCTCCTCCCTGTTGTTGCCTTGACGCAGTGTGCACCAGCTACTTAACCAACGGGCAGCCCTCTGTGGAACGATTCCCCATCAGCTTTAAAACCCACTTCTCAGGGAACTATTTTCATCACGTGGTGCTCGGGATTTACTCCGGTACGGCTCGCTGGGCATGAGCCGGCGATCAGACCTGATGGACAAACCTCTCACTTACCGGACTCTGAGCGACCTCATCTTTGAGTTTGAAGACTCCTATAAAAAGTACTTGCATTCGGTCAAAAAGGTGAAAATCGGGTTGTACGTCCCGCACGAGCCGCACAGCTTCCAGCCCATCGAGTGGAAACAGCTGGTCCTCAACGTGTCCAAAATGATGCGCACGGAAGTCAGGAAGGAGCTGGAGAAGTTTGCCAGGGATATGAGGATGAAGGTAGGTCTGCACGCCTTGTCCCACCCTGCACACATTGGTTTCGCTCAGTGTCAGCAGGTTGGCCCCGGCCTGAGATAAAGGTGGGCTGTGGGTTTGCTTAGATCTGTCTTAGAGAATCCCGGACTAGTTTGGGTTGGAAAGGACCTTAAAGCTCATCCAGTTCCGACCCCTTGTCACGGGCAGGGACACCTCACACTAGAGCAGGTTGCTCCAAGCCCCTGTGTCCAACCTGGCCTTGAACACTGCCAGGGATGGGGCAGCCACAGCTTCTCTGGGCACCCTGTGCCAGCGCCTCAGCACCCTCCCAGGGAAGAGCTTCTGCCTTAGCTCTAACCTGAACTTCCCCTGGTTCAGTTTGAACCCATCACCCCTTGTCCTGTCGCTCCAGTCCCTGAAGAATAGTCCCTCTCACCATCCTTGGGGGAGTGGTCTTAGTGATTCTCCCATGTTTTCAGGCTCTTATAGCTATTTGTTAGTTCAAGATCTCCTCTTCAGCCTGGAAAACACTTGAACCCATACTCGTGCCTGGCCATCAAGGTGCTGCCCAGTTTGCTTTTCTCACTGACTCCAGAACCATGACTGGGGCTGGTGGGATGGGTGGCCTGGCAGCGGGTAGGGATCTCTGCTCTGTACACCTGAGCTGCAAGGGGTGCTGTGGCACGGCCGTGTTGGGTGGTTGCTTCTCCTTGCAGGCCATGCTGATGGGCTGCTCTGCCTGACGTCCACCACCACGGTTCAGTCACAAAGCAGGTTACATGGGAAGGGCGAGGAAAGTGAGTCCCTCACAGGCTGGTTGGTCAGAGTGAAGGGCTCAGAGGGAAACAACAGGGACAAAGGGCAGGCGGCCAGAGGGATTGGCTGCCCTTGAGGATGAGGGGTGTCCCTGACCGTGCTGGCATGGATGAGGAGCTGGTTGTGGCCATGGTGAAGGGGATTTGGTGCCTTTCCAGCCTGTTGCTGGCAGCGGGAGCAGAGCAGGTGTGTTGCTAATTATGGAGCTGGCTCTCGTGGAGAGGTATGCGGCATCGTGTCCCAGTTATTCCGGGTTCCCGGCCCCTGCCCTCCTGAGGAATGGCTCTGACGTAGCAGCCCTCTGCCTTTCTGGCTCAGGCTCCCTCCCCCTGACCTTGCGGGGAGCATCGCCAGTGGCATTGTCCCTGTATCCTGCTCCCACCTCTCCTGAGGGCCAGCTTGTACCATGCTGTCACCTTAAGCACATGTGCTTGATCACAGACATAATGAAAGAGGGTTTTTCCCCTTGTTCTCTCTATTCATGCACTTTTAATACCCTCTAGAGAGCAAACAGCTGAAGCAGGCTCTAGCTGAAGAAGTCCATACAGATAGGTGACTTGTTGAACTTAGTACTTGCTTTTGATAGTGTGTGCTGAGCTGTGACACTGGGCCCAGTCCTCATAAGTGCCTCAAGACTAGGACCACTACCCCGAACCCTTGAAGACCCTGTATCTGACTGCTCCCTTGAGTTAATTCAGAGTTTGAGCTGCTTCCGTTGTGAAGGGCTGACTTCGGAGGATCAGGTCTTAAAACGAGCCTGGAGTATGAGCGTGGTGCTGATGGCGTGAGGCTGCACGGTATGGGGCATGCAGGCATAGTGAAAAGTCTCACTGCCACAGAGAGCTCAGCTGCCAGCCTGGGAGAAGATCACCTCTGTTTGTGGAGAGGAAAGCCGGAGAGGGTGGTTTGGCTGCGTGAGTTCCCTTCAGCTGAGGCTCAAAGCTGGTTTTCTTATCCCTTGTGGTCTCCAGCTCTGAAGAAAGCTGTGTTTGAGACCTGTTTGTTCAGTATTTAGCTGGAAACTGAACTGGTGACACCAACTGATTTTTGCAGGGGGGCCCTGAACAGCTATCACATGATAACAGCTTTGGGCTCCTCTCAACCTGGACAGGGTTTGACTGAGCCCCAAGGGACTGAAGGCTCTTTGTGTGCCATCCCCGCCACTGTATGAGGCCCTTTATATTTTTATTTTCAGTGAATCATGGCCTTTATTGAATGCTTCTTCCTTCCCTCCCCCATCTCTTGCAGATCCTGAAACCCTCAAGTGCCCATTCTCCAATGAAAGAGAGATCACGGGGTAAGTCGTTGTCCCCGCGCCGAAGGCAAGCCAGCCCTCAGAGACGGGCCTGCAGGAGAGACAAGTCGTGAGTATCCCACTGCGTCAGTGGTGGTCAGGAATGGAGGGTCAAGACCTGTTTAGCTGTGCAAAACTTGGTTGTGCTCACTGGCATGTGTAGGAAAAAGCAGGTGTCTTGGTCACCAGAGAGGCTCCCGAAGCTGCTGGTACTGCTGGTGAGAAATCGGGGCAGTTCAGCCTGGAGAAGAGAAGCTGCGTGGAGACCTCAGAGCAGCTCCCAGTGTCTGAAGGGGGCTACAAGGATGCTGCAGAGGGACCTTCATCAGGGACTGGAGCGACAGGACAAGGGGTGATGGGTTCAAACTGAACCAGGGGAAGTTCAGGTTAGATCTAAGGCAGAAGCTCTTCCCTGTGAGGGTGCTGAGGCGCTGGCACAGGGTGCCCAGAGAAGCTGTGGCTGCCCCATCCCTGGCAGTGTTCAAGGCCAGGTTGGACACAGGGGCTTGGAGCAACCTGCTCTAGTGTGAGGTGTCCCTGCCCGTGGCAGGGGTTGGAACTGGAGGAGCTTTAAGGTCCTTTCCAACCCCAACTGGTTTATGATTCTACACCCTGGCATTGCTGTGCTTACTGCTGCCCAATGGCCTCTCTGTGCGGGGCCTGTGGAGGCCCCGATGGCCTTTGCTTGGTTCAGTTCTGTGGGGGTTGCGTGGCTGGGAAGGTGCAAGTGTGGGGTTTGCCTTTTTCAGCCTTTATACTCTGTACTTCCTGGAGAATGAACCTAGCCTGGGGACCTGTGCGGGAGGGAAAGCAGTTCGATCACATGTAAGGGTGTGCAGACATAGGTATTAGAAACAGGAGGGTGGATCTATTAACGGTGGTGTGGTGCCTGGCTGTCACGGTCACTGAGACAGAAATTGGGATTCTCTGTGATGAGCCTTCATACAGAGCTGTTCTGATGGACTGGTTTTCACTGCAGACTGTCTGACTTAAAGGCATGGTGAAAAAGTAGATCTTTTCTTGTGAAAGCAAAAACATCACTTACCTTGTGTTCTTTGATTTTAATCAGCTTAAAAAACCCCAGACCACTTCCCTCATGTGCCACAGCTAGTAGTTTAACTGTGGGGGGAAGGATGGACCAGCTGCATGCAATACCTCTAAATGGATAAAACTGTGCTTCCAGAGCACAGGCCTTTTACAGCCACTGCCAGTTCTGACTCCCATACCTTAGATGTGGAAGAGTTGAGTTGTAGCTGTCCTGCTTCATGCCAGGAAGCTGACAACTGTGAAAGCCTATACATAACACAGATTAGTCACATATTTATGATTGCTGCTTTTTAAATAGGCTCCCAGACTACTGTCTCAGCACTTGTTTGTTTATTTTAAAGCAGCTAACAAAGACATTAGACTAATCTTCTAAAGATAACTTCAAGATACTTTGGCATCAGATGATTTATTGCAGGCTTTTATTTATACACGTGAATTCACACTCAGTCCATGCTGCCCTACCTTGGCCTTCACTAAGAGCTCCTTGTTTAGTGCATGGATAATTATAGTTGTAAAGGGCTTGGCTGCTCCTGGCTTCTTCATCTCCTACATGTGCTTTGAGGGCTGGTTTCATCTTTGGGTTTCTGGTCATGCTTCTGCAGTTGCTGAAGTGGATCGTGTGTGTCTGGAGAGGAGAGTGAGTCTTGCTGGGCTTTGGAGCATCACCCATTGGGCCGGGTTCATGATTGCTGCTGCTGCAGTGGCTGATTCCTCCTTGGTAGCTTTGCTTTTCCAGAACAGAAAGACAAGTGAAGTGATGGTGGCCTTCAGCAGCTTCAGCCCCTGTCACCTGCTTGGTGGTTCCGCTCTGCTGCTCTGTACCTAGGGTGAATTATATGCGATTCCAAAACAACATGATACAAGATCCAGGACCCAGCTACGACATGATGTGGGGAGCGGGAGACTGAGCACAGGCTCCACACACAAGACCTTCATCTCTGCTTGGGCAGAAGGCATTGGAGCATCTTGGAGCGGGTGGGAGCTCCTGCAGCATGTGCTTTGTGACTGCCTGACAGCCCTGTGGGTCCTGCGCAGCCCCTCATGGACCTGGCCAGTACATTCAGAAGCAGAAGGGGAGTGAAGGAGCTTTCGAGCCCTTGAGCAGAGCCAAGAGGCTGTTCTCTGTCAGAAAAGCAATGCCAGGGAGAAGAACTGGGTTCCTGATGTTGAGATGATGCTTCTGTGCAGTGATGCTGGTGGCCTGAAGGCTGACTGTGCCTTTTGCCCCATCAGGAGGGATGCTGCAGAGCAGTAGGCTGCTGTGAGGAGCTCCCTCCTGGTGATAAAACCCTTTCGTTTCCAAAACTGACATCTGCTGCTTTCTGCAATGGGAGGTCTCTGAGACCTGAAGGGAGAAGCAGCATCCCCTCACCAGGGATGAGCTGAACGGCACGTACCAGCACATACAGCGTGGGGGATATCAGGTATTTTCTTTGACATATTGATGGATCTCCCAGAACTGAGCTGCAGTGAGAGGCCTTTGTGTTACACACAGAGGAGGAAGGACTCAGGCTTGCTAGGCTTTGGGCTGAAACCCTAGCTAAAGAATGGCCGTGCTTATCAGCACTGTGCTTGTTTCTTTGTGGATCTCTTGCTGTAATTACAGCTTTTCAGAGCTTGTAGGGGAGGGGGAGAGAAGTGTTTTGCTCTAACAGGAGCTGGCAGGGGCTGAATAACACATTCGTTTGAGAGGCTTCACCTGCTGATGACAAGCTGTTATTACAGCCTGGGGTTTGTCAACAGTAAAATCACACGGGTCTGCTAGGTGAAATCTCCCAGTGGAAAATAAGCAAGCTGGAATGGTGAACTGGAATGTCTTTGCTGGATTGTGTCTGAAGGTTAAGGATAGAAATGGATTTTACAGCCTCAACCTTGTAACTTCCATTTCTTTAGCCTGGAGATAGGGCTAGAAGGCAGATAGGGTATGTGGCAGCACACCGGTGGCAATGCAATAAGCAGTAGGTGCCTGTCTGTAAGACTGGTGTGCAGTCAGATTGCAGCTCGTTGACTGAGCTATGTAACAGTCCATGTGCTCTTGGCACACAGCTGGGTGGCCCTGCTAGGGCTGGGCATCAGGCAGGATGAATACAGAGCATATAGGGTGGTGTCAGTCTGTCTGCCAAGTCTGAAGCTTTACTGTGTCCCCTTGTCCGTCCTCTGAAGTCCCAAAGCGGGAGGGTGCAGTAAATTGCAAGTGGCTGTGCTGGAACAGTGTTTCATCCTCAACAGAAGGGCTTGGAGCTGGAGGGATTTGGGAGAGGAAGTTTGGGAGTTCGAAGGGAACATCGCGCAGCAGCCTGAGGCAGTCTCTGCTCCTAAATGTCAGCTCACCAAATCCATTTCCTTTTAATTTCAGACTGAGGCTTAACGCATGCATGAGTGTCGTAGCAACACTGGCCTTGTGTGCTTCTGGCCTAATTTAGCTGTTGACAGGAAAATTCTGTTGGTCCATTCCATTGGGACGCACAAGGGGGTGGGAATATACCGGGGTTGTATTCTGTCAGGCTGTGTGAGACCAGGCAGCTCGTGCGTGTCCCCAGCAGCCATGCACAGCTGATTCACCTGGCACTGCCACAGCGCTTCAGGCAGGAGTGCGACCTGATGGGCTGGCGCAGCGGAGGCCCCTTGCCTCAGAGGGAAGTTTGGCATCAGGTCATGTGCCAGCCCAGGAGGACAGGGGCTGCGATGCCTCTGCTCCAGCAGATCCTTGCCTGTTCCTCAAACCTCGTGGAGGACAGTCTGCTTGTAGCTACAAGCTAGAGAGTTGTCATGGAGCGGAAATGGGCATGTTGCCATGGGTGTGCAGTGACTCCCCATCCCTCTTGGATAATCAGAGAAGGTAGAACCATCCAGGCGTGCTGTGCTTTAATTAAAACTACATTCTGGCTTTAATTAAAGGGAGGGAGAAGGGGTGGGAAGAGGATCCCTAAATATGAGGGAGGAAGAAAGGACACTGGAAACTTCATAGTGCATCTCTTGCTGGTCTCAGCCAGCTACACAAGCTCTGAGGAATGGAGGTTATAGTTTGTTGTCTGGCTAGTCAGATCCCATCTGCTCTGAAGGCATAAAGTGGTTAAAATCCAAACTATCTTACAGTGATTTCTTCAGGTACGAGCCCTTCCTGCAGTGACAGAGACCACAGAGGGCTCCTTCGCTGCTCTGAGGTACCTGCAAACACAGGGTGCGGGGCAGTACTGCCAAGAGGGTGATGGGTTATTCATAAAGAGGTGCTTGGATACGTGGCAGAAACCCAGGTTGTGTTCAGCGGGTGACCAGGCAGAAGTGCGTGAGTTGTCCTTAGCAATGTCTCCAGCTCTCAGGTGCTGTGCAAATTCTCACAGAGATGTGATGTTAGCAGCTCTGCTCTTCGTCTGCAGTGGAGTGCACGTGCTGTAGAATCTAGTAGGAGAAATGTATTTTAAACCATGCCTTTCTTTAGGAAAGCAAACACACAGCTTAGTGTGAAAATAGCTATGAGCCTGGAGTGAGGTCCTGGATTAGACACTTCCATAGACTATACATCAGCAGGATTGTTTTGGTTTGACAACTTCGTTGCAGGAGCTTTTCCACTGCCTGCTAAATAGGGAGAGACTGATGGCTCCATCTCCAGGTTTCACTTGGTTCAGTTGTTGATATACTTTAATGACCTGGCAGCATCTTACATGTACATGTGGTTACTGCAGTGAATGGCTGCACTGCATCAGGACGTAAGATGCCTGGAGACTGAAAGGAGTTCGTCTTGTGTTTTCTGTTTGGTGGAAGATTTCTGTGGGTGAAAGATGGGATATGAGTGGGCAACGTGCACTTGCAGCCCAGAAAGTTGGTCATATCTTGGGCTGCACCAGGAGGATCGTGGCCAGCAGGTCAAGGGAGGTGATTCTGCCCCTCTGCTGTGCTCTCCTGAGATCCCACCTGCAGTCCTGCTTCCTGCACTGGAGTCCTCAGTACAGGAAGGACACGGACCTGTTGGAGACGGTACAGAGAAGGCCACAGGAATGATCAGAGGCATGGAGCACCTCTCCTGTGAGGAACGGCTGAGAGAGCTGGGGTTGTTCAGCCTGGAGAAGAGAAGGCTTCGGGGAGACCTTGTTGTGGCCTTTCG